GAGGGTGAGTAATTAGTGGGCTAATTTTCATTTTTGGTGAACTAACCCTTTAACATGCATGCATGTAACAAACTTTTTTTTCACATGCATTTTTTAATGCATGTCCTATGAAGCCACAATGTATTTGTGTTATATATATATATATATATATATATATATATATATATATATATATATTTGGATATATATCCAAAATAATCGATATTGAATCGAATTAGTAATCGAATCGAATCGCGAGCTTGTGAATGAGAATTGAATCGTGAAATTTGTGTGAAAACCCAGCCCTAATAATTACTAAGCGGTGTAAGAGGATTTTAGTGGTCAAGACATAACTGGATCACTTCTGCCTGAAATAACTAGATTTATCAAAAGTATTGAATGGTTTTAATTTTAAGAATTAGAAATTTCAGAAAATGTAAAGCTTTAAGACTTGTGCACACTCGTGACTAAACAAAGGGTGCCAATTTGAGTGTGCACACCGATGCGCAAAACGGCAGGTGTAAAAGCGTAATTTTTTTTTTAAACGCCTCGGGCTCGTTTTTTTGGTTTGACGCGCCGCGTTAAAAACTGGCCGACCAATGAGATTGGCGCATTTGTTCACGTGCCTGGAGCTGCTGAATTTACAGTAAAACATGACTTGGTGGCTCTCAAGCACAAAATGGTCTTGCCGAGCACACATTGATACCTAACGATGAAGAGGAAGTAAGTAGACGAAGAAGATGCATCGAGGCAAGATGAATGTAGAGCTGCTGGTCTCATTGGTGTCTGAACACAAAGGGCTTTACGACAAATGCGACAGCGACTACAAAAATCTCGATTAGAGGGAGTTATGGAGAGGAACTGCAGATCAAATAGGATTCGATGTGTATTTGATCTGCAGTTCACTCAGCTCATTGCCAGCGAAAATCGCTTGGTTATGAACACACAAGACGCGTCGAAAAATGCTGGCAATAAGCGCGCGCGATAATCGTCCCGGTGTGCACGAGGCATTAGACTGCAAGTTCATGTTACACTCTTGTGGTGCGTGAGTACTATTTTGAGGTTTAAAATCCTATATCACATTTAATTACTTGTCAGTACATCTGAAAGCAATATTTTTCTTCCATTAAGAAATCCATGTATGCAATTCAGTGGTTCTCAACCTTTTTGACTCCTGTTGTCCACAGCAATATTTGAAGGTCCTCCTTTTAATTTGAATGATACACAGTTTCGCATACACAGTGCTTTTTTTTTTCATTACAAAAATCTGTTAAAATTAATGGTTTATCAGCCTGCTTTCTCTTTCAATCCAATCCTGAAATAATGTGCAAAGCCATTTTCAGATTTCCAGAACTCCATGCTGAAGTTTACAAAATTTAGAATGAGAGTGAGGCACCATACTGATTAAGGTTCTGCTCTTCCTCTTCCTCCTCAGGTGTGTATTAGGGAACACTACTATTCTTGCAGAGTTTGCTAGTGAAGAGGAAATTAATCGTTTCTTTGCACAAGGTCAGTCAATGACTGCCTCTCCTAGCTGGCAGACGCTGGGCTCTTCTCAGAACCGGATCGGATCCATCGAGGGTTCTCACCCCTTCCCAAACCGCACTGATCCAAATCACTGGAACGGCAGTGGAGACCTGCACGGCTCGTCTCTCTGGGGCGTTCCCAATTACTCTACGAGCCTGTGGGGGAGCCCCAGTGGTGGTGACGGGGGGAGAATCAACAGCCCCTCCCCCATCAGCTCCTTCCTTCCTGTTGACCACCTGACGGGAGGTGGGGAGTCCATGTAGTGCATCTTTCACCTTCTGACTTAAAAACAAACAACAACTAACATTCAAACCCGTGACCTCAATGTGGAAATAGTTAATCATAATCATATGACCATATATACATTATATATGAAAAAAAATCAAATGGCACTAGTTAGACTTTCTTCACTTACAAAAAGAAAAAAAAACAATGCGGGGTCACCCTGTGGAAACTAGTTACATTTTTTTTCTGCACGTATGTCCACTTTGTTTTAGCCCAAAACATATCAGTTTGAATACTTGAATTATGCAGGCCAATTCTATAATGTGAAAGGATGTATTTACACTTCCAGGTAGTGCTCTTCATACAGAGAAAAAAAAGCTTCAGTTGAGCTCATCTGTTTATTCATCATGTTTATTTGAATTCCAATTCTTTTTTTGTTTTGTTTTTATTATTTGCATTTTGTTTGCTGACAATGTTGGAGTTTGAGCTTTTTTAACTTTGCACTGAATGTGGTTTTTCTCAGTATAATCTGCAATATGGAGGGAGCCGACAGTTCCAGTGTAGTTGTTTACTCAAGGATGTTCTTTAAAGTGTGCGCTCTACTATGCCTTGATGTACGCCTACCTTATTGTGGTATTGTGGAGTTCGAGATCAAGATATAGATGCTGATTTAGGATTATTTGATGATATTACAGAAATAAGTATTGCACCAATTTTTTTTTTTTTTAAACTAAAGAATTTAGCTCTGCAGTCTAAAAAAACTGTAGCCACAGCTGTGACTTGCAAACCCGACCTGCAAGCCAGGGGGAACAGCACTTTCAAAATAGGCTTTCAATTTTGTTTTGGAGGCATCACATTGTGCCCTCTTGTTTACAAAACTTTTTGAGAGGGAAAGTATGGTCATTCTTCCTTTTATTTTAAATGGAAAAAAAAAAATTAAAAAAATGCATAAAGAATTTAAAAAAAATCTTACAAAAATTATAAAATTAAAAATAAAAAAAAAATTTAAAAAATCAAACTTAAAAAAAAATCTTGAGGATGAAGACGAAGCTTTTTATCTCTGGGAATACTGATCAGTGTTTGGCCATGTCATTGGTTATTTTATCTATTCCTCTTGTCTGCTAAATAACCAGCATGGTTCTCAGGAAATATAGCCAGTTTTCCCCCATAGAAACTCCTTGTAGGAAAATCCAACTTTTAGCACTGAAACTACTTATAGCTCTGTAAGTTTTTCTCTGCCAAATAACTGCTTTAAGCTGGAGACATTCTACTTACTGCTTTTCAAATATGCTGTCTTTTTATTAATGAGTGAATATGCTTGCTGAATCACTATCTAGAAGAATCACTTCTTCCCTTTTTCCCACTGAGTGGCTCAATGTTTTTCACTTTGTGACTGTCGAAGTAACTGTCAAATGTCATAAGAAAAAGCAGAAATCTGTAACTATGCATACTGTAGCCAGTGACTCGGCCTACAGAATCACTTTTTCTTTGTCTGAAGTAATGTTTTATATGTTTCAGTAATTTGCATATACATCGTTTGATATATACATACATATAGATATATATATATTTTCCTCATCGCCAGAGCTGGTGTTAAAGAAAATCTTGTTTGATTATTTTAACAGTGCAAAAGTCGTCCACATTTCATTGCCTTGATTCAAATTGTGTCCGAAAATGAAACAAGTCAAGTGGCTTTTAACTGTTTACAAATAGAAAATGATTGTAATGTGTACAGTTTGGTTGCGTTAATCTGAAGTTCCTTACAATATTAATAAATCAATGTTTTGGCTGCTCATTACCATTTTATTTAAAAAAAAAATTTTTTAAATATTTTGTTCTCCCCCTTCCCCTCCCCTTTTTTCCCCCTTCCTCAAAGCTGGTTTGTCATTGAAAATGGCTTGCCTCTGTACTTGTGGCCAAGGAAGGCTGGATTAGAGGTGAATGTAATCTATTGCTGGTAGTTTAAATGATGTGCATAGATTTACAGACTATTTACCTTTTATTGTACTATATTTTAGGTGCACAATTTATGAGACGCTTCAAGAGCGGGAGGGAGAGAAAGATGTCAGCATTAGGCTAAGCCATGGACCTTAATATTTGTTTAAGCTGTTGTTTTTTCTCCCTTTTTTATTTGAGTAGAACTTGTGTGGTGTGTTAACTTATCCATATTTAATGACTCGTCGTACAAAACCCCGAGTATTACCCTCACTTTATGGTTGCGTGCCAGTATTGAACCATTTTAAGTGACTGCTTTACCAAATATACTTCAATCAAAGGATTTGTTTACTTAATTCCAGACCTGGCTTATCTTATTTTGTTTGTTTGACAAATTTTAAGTGGAACATTGGAGAGAAACTACATAACGAAAGCCGAAAATGAGTTTTTGGAATTGCACTTGGTGTATACAATTAACTAGAAAAGCTTGTACTGTATTTGTGTTCTGGAGGCAGAGTGTAGCTTTTGGAGACTGGACGGCATGGACAGAGGACTTTGCCTTTTGTTTGTCTTTTTATTCTTCGTGTACATTGGCTAGACTCTTAAAGCGTGCATTTGTGCCTGCGAGCTTGAGTGGTCCACTCCATTCCTGCGCATCAGGAGCCCAAGTATTCTCCTCTTGTTTGGGAGCGTATAACTGCAGGTATCGCCGATCGTTTTGCCGTGACTTTATTTACTCCCTCGATGTGGATCGCTCAATCTTTTGTGCTTTAGTTACATGTTCAAATGCGTCTGGAATAGCGTTAGTCCTTTCTGGAAGTGCTTTACCAATGGTTCTGAATGGGTTCTTCCCTGCTGTCTTGGCAAACGTGCTAGTTTCCCTATACTTTGTGGCTTTTTACTTTCGAAAGCATAGGGAAAAGCCATTGGCACCCAGTTTACTTCCACTTTTAATTGTTTATTTTGCTTTTATTTTTTCCCCCTCCCCTCTTTTCCTCTTAATTTTGTTTTATGTATGTGCAGCTGTTTGGTGTTAGTCAGAACTGTCATGCTTGATAGTTCACTGTCATGCCAAATTATCAAGTTGGGGGAGGAAAGGGATTTGTTCTTTTGTAAAAGCTGGACAATGTATATGCTTCAAATGTCACTTGCATAATGGATGTTTTGAGGATATTCATGAGCAATGTACAATCCCCATTTTTATAGCCAGGTTGAACGTAGAGGAAATGAAAAAGTGACTTGGCCTGACATTCTACTTTTGTACTGAAAATGTCATTTCTTTTCTGATTGATCCTGTGAGCAAATATACCCATGTCTTTTAAATGGTTCCTACTGTTGAACAATGTGCTAAGGCAATTGACTTAAACTGTGAGTATTGCTGTCATGTCATTATAAACCTGAAAAGCTTTAGTAAAACCAGCACAAGAAAATGGATGAACGAGAGTTTAAATCGAAACTTCCACCATGGGGAAATTCTAAGAGAGGCTATGCAGTGTAGGGTGAGGCTTCCATGTCTCGGTCTTTGCTTAATGAAATCCTGACCGCGGTAGTGGTCGGATTTAAAAATACGATTCCTGTAATGTGCCATGATTGAAATTTTCTTTCACTTTTTGTCACGAAAAATTGGCCAGTTGTAGCAAATGGAGGGTTGCATTAACATTTCCTTTTTCACAGCGCTCCTCACAAAACGGGCTGTGGAATAGCAAATTCTCAACTCCAACATTTCTTCTAGTGGTCTGTCAAGAAAATAGTTTGCTCATATGTAACCTATATGCACACTGCTTTGGTAGACTGTTTGAAAATGAATAGAAATAAAACATCAATAAGATAACTTAAATGAGCAGGAAGTTCTTTTCAGCGTCTTCCTGGGGTCATCTTACAATTTTAACTTGGGGAACTGCACTTTTTGAAGGACAATCCTTATTTGTATTGGTAACAATTGACACAAGGTTTAGTCTAGTAATACATGGTAGATATTCAAATGTGTAGTGATGAATGTTTCCTGTAATGCTGTTTTTCTTTGTTTAGTTCTTTTTCTCCTCTTTGTTGCTTGGTTTTCAATTTTAGTACCCTTAAGTGCATATGTAACGAGGTAGTTGAGTAGTTTTTAGGTCTTTTGTTGGCTGTACATGTAGACTGATAATAACTTTGTAAAGTCCTGATCTTGATATTGGAATACAAAGCTGTATAACTTGGGTACAACCCGCAATAAAGCCTAACAGTGATATGGTGTGCAATGTTTTTTGTCTTTAATATACTTTCACTACAAGTGCAATTGAGAAAACACTTTTTGCATCAACAATCTTCCTGAAATTGCTGTAGCTCAGTAATCCTGCTATTATTGGTCACTGCAGAATAAATCATGGGTGACATTCTTGCAAATATGGTATTTTCATAATGTCGTGATAAACTTTTGTGAGATACCACATGCTGGTGCCATTATATAATCTAAGGCCAATTAAATATTAAAAGACCTAATACAGGTGCATCTCAATAAATTAGAATGTCGTGGAAAAGTTTGGCTCACATTTAATAAAAACCCACCAATTCACTATCTCAACAAATTAGAATACTTCATAAGACCAATAAAAAAACATTTTTAGTGAATTGTTGGCCTTCTGGAAAGTATGTTCATTTACTGTACATGTACTCAATACTTGGTAGGGGCTCCTTTTGTTTTAATTACTGCCTCAATTCGGCGTGGCATGGAGGTGATCAGTTTGTGGCACTGCTGAGGTGGTATGGAAGCCCAGGTTTCTTTGACAGTGGCCTTCAGCTTATCTGCATTTTTTGGTCTCGTTTCTCATTTTCAAAAAAATAGTTAGACAAACTGGTACACAGCTCATTCTAAATTATTCTATAGTGAATCAGTCTGAATTTTTAAAACATTTATCCAGTGAGCACATGGAAACATCTTGCAGAAACATTATCAAAAATTGTGGGAAATCTGCCTCTGTATGCCCAAAGAGGTGTTGAAAGCTCCACACATTTTTAAATCATCATCCTATGGTTTACTTACAATTATGCATTTTAAACTGGTGAAAGGATGCAGTATTTTGATGGAAATATTGCACAGCATCTTTTAAGTTCTTGCACTGACATTTTTAAAGTGGCACTGACCTTGAATTTAAGTTGCAGTAACACTACCCATCCACTAGAGGGATTACAATGAGGCTTCACTTGGTGCATGACAAACTGAAGAATTACAATTTAGTCTTGGCTTTATTTTCAGCTCAGGTTCCAATGAGTTTATAGTGACATTTTCATTAAATACAACAGTACATGATAAGGCAGTTGACTCCATAAGCAAGAGACAGAAGAAAATAGTTTGACAGACACTGGATGCAGCCAAACATCCGAATTGTTTAATATAGAGTCAATCCGTACCTGAAACAAAAAAGACATGAGACTAAGAGAAAATTAAGCATGCACTGGTTGCCTACAATCTAAGTATTAATTTAAAAGGACTTACCATATGACTTGCTTCTATTCATAAACATCTTTTTTATCTGCAATGTACTGTACGATCTCTGCAGGAGTCATAAGCTTCTCAGCCTCTGCGTCTGGTATCTCAAATCCTGTGGATGGAACAATGTGTTTGAGCACCACAATTCAAATCAAATGTTTAGAAAATATTTGAAACCTGTGATATGCTCTAATGGTACGGGAACAAACCCATACTAACCAAACTCATCTTCCATAGCCATTATAATCTCCACCTGGTCCAAGCTGTCCAGCCCCAGATCTTTCATGAAATGAGACGATGTTTGCAGCTTGAGGAGGGAAAAGGTATCAGAGATTGATGCTAGGAATCTGTATATACAATATCTCAATGTAAAAAGAGCAGCTTGTCTAACTACAAAAACTACATTAAACTAACAATGAATGAAAAAAAAAATGACTTAAGCATTTATTAATCGTAATGTTCATTACTACATTATGAAAATCAAAAGTTGTATATCTTAATTTTTAATGGACCT